GGATACTTACCTGGCTGGACTCATTTGAGTCCCGTTTTTGTTTTTAGGGTGAGTGGTTTTGTTTGTTTGTTTGTTTGTTTGTTTTTTTTTGGGTTGTTCTCCCGCCCTGGCGGGGGGTCGGGCTAGAAGATCTATTAGGTCCCTTCCGACCCTGAAACTATGAAACTATGAAACTATGACTCCATCCTGAGAGGTATGGAGGGGCCCATCTGTTGCCAGGACCCCTCAACATGCGGGGGGTACTGCCACCCCAGAACAAAGATTCAGGACATGACAGGGATGATCCAGGCATTGATCCAGCCCACTGATTACTACCCCATGGTCTTAATCCGTGTGGGTACTAATGATGTGGCCAGGAGAAACCCTGATCACCTGATAACGGACTACCATGCTCTGGCGGGTATGCTGAGGAAGATAGGAGCACAGGTGGTAGTCTCCTCTGTCCTACCATTGAGTGGATGTGGTAGACGACATATGACCTGCATCAGAGAGACCAACTGGCAGCTTCAGGAATGGTGTCTTGAGGCAGCCTTCAGCTTCCTAGACAACGACCTGCACACCACGACGAGAGACATGCTCGGGTGGGATGGGCTTCACCTTTCCCCCAAAGGTAAGCGTGTATTGTCTTCTAGGTTGGTGGATATCCTCCAGTGGGCTTTAAACTAGGCTCATTGGGGGATGGGGAAGATGAGGGCAGAGGAAGCCTTGGACCAAACAACCAAGACACACCCACAAGAACAGCCCAGCCTGGACCAATGATGAGCAGAATGAATAGCCAGGTAAGCAACTGGGGCCTGGGCAGTACTGAGATTAGGGGCCAGTGCACACATCTTCAGGAGGCCTCATTTGCCTCTACACAAATGCTCGTAGTATGTGGAACAAGCAGGAGGAACTTGCCCTCCTGCTAGCTGACACCAAGCCAGACATAGTGGGGCTCACAGAAACATGGTGGGACCCAACACACGGCTGGGCGGTGAATATCAAGGGCTATAGGCTGTACAGAAGGGACAGGACAGGGAGGAAATGTGGGGGGTGTGGCACTCTACATCAAGGACGAATACACATCCTCATCTAGTAGCACAAGGTCAGATGAGTGGCACACTGAAGTGCTCTGGGTTAGAATAGAAGGGAGTCGAGGGGAAAGGGACTTAATGGTTGGGGTCTACTATAGGCCACTCAACCAAGGGGAAGACCTAGACCGGGAATTCTTAAGTCAGCTCACAGAGGTAGTTAGGTCAAAAGATGTGGTCATCATGGGGGACCTGAACTTTCCAGACATCTGCTGGGAAGAGCAGTCAGCCAGGTCTGACCACTCATGTAGGTTCCTAGCTGAGATACAGGACCTCCACCTGACCCAGGAGGTGCACAGCCCCACCAGGGGAGACGCTTTGTTGGATCTGGTGCTGGCCACAGGCGATGACCTTGTGAGGGGTCTGCAGGTGCTCGACCACCCGCGTGACAGCAATCATCGCCTGCTGGAATTCACCATCCAACACAAGGTGGCAAAAGCCTGCAGCAAGGCAGCAGCCCTGGACTTCAGGAGAGCGGATTTCAATGAGGTAAGAAGAATAGTTGGGGAAGTACTGAGGTCCCAGAGGGGAGTGAAGTTG